CCTCCTTACCCCCGTTTGTTGTTGCTAAAATCAATATGTTGTGAAGGCAAACATGCCACAAACATTTTAAGTATCTATAGTTTGAAAGATGAAAATAGCCAGGTGAGGTGGCCCACACCTATAGTCCCAGCACTTTGGGAAGCCGAGGTAAGAGGATTGCCTGAGCCTGGGAGTTCAAGACCAGACTGGGCAACAAGGTAAGACCCTTTCTCTAAAAATAAATAAATAAATAATAAAAGTAGCCAGGCATGTTGGTGCATGTCAGTAGTCACAGCTACTCAGAAAGCTGAAGGTGGGAGGATCCCTTGAGCCCAGGAATTTGAGATTGTAGTGAGCCATGATTGCACCACTGCACTCCACTCTGGGTAACAGATCAAGACCCCATTTCTTTTTAAAAAAAAAAAAAGAAAACAGGTTCCCTGACTACAAGAATCAAACTAGGGGCCGGGCGCTGTGGCTCACGCCTGTAATCCCAGCTCTTAGGGAGGCAGAGGCGGGAGGATAGCTTGAGCCCAGGAGTTCCAGACCTGCCTGGGCAATATAGCAAGACCCCGTTCTCCACAAAAAGGAAAAAAAAAACAAAAAGACAAAAAAAAAAAAAGCGTAAAAAAAAAAGAATCAAACTAGGGGTTAGAAAAGATCTTAGGTGTCTAGTTAAATCTCTTTCAATAGAGGATTTATTTCTGCAGCATCCCTGACAAGCAGCCTCTCCTTGAATATCAATGGTGGCAGGGTCTCATTTTCTCGAAGATATTTTTTTCATTGTTAGATAGATAACAGCTATGAGAAAGTTTTTTCTAAAACTGAACTAAAGACCACTGTTTGTAAGACTTGCTCCTTAGTTCTATGGCGTTAAAAGAACAAGCTATCCCCTCATTACATGACCTCTGATATCTGAATTCAGCAGTAGGAAGTAGTTCCCTATTTCTGTAGAATTAATCCCAGGTAAAGTCTTGGCTACACTTGAATCTGTCAAGATCATTTTGAATTCAGCCTGCTTCTTGCCTCATGCTCTTTGTGAAGAAAAGCACGCCTTGTATTCTGTTGTCTTCATTTTTGGGTTGTTTATACTTTTTGGCTATGATAATTAATGCTGGTATGAACATTTGTGTACAAGCTTTTATATAGAAATAAGTGTTCATTTTTTTTTCAGTTGTATCGGAGTAGAATTGCTGAGTCATATGGTAACTGTTAACTTTTTGAGGAGGTGCCAAACTGTTTTCAGAGCAGTCGTACCACTTTCCATTGCCAATAGCAGTATATGAGGGTTCAGATTTCTCACCAACTCTTATCTTTTAATTATAGGTTCAGAATATTTCTATTACACTCCTCCTACTCCTGTCAACTCCACTTTGACATCAAACTCCAAACCATCACATAAGTGTAGTTCTTTTTAGCTCCCTTTGGCTAAGTGATTTGTATCGCCAGCACTCTGACTCAGATTTCTTACTTATGAAGAGAGTTAGTTGATCTGGGCTTCTTTAATTTTAAAATGGCATCACGTAGTAAAGTTTGAGAACTTGGATTTTAAATCAAACCTGGATTCAAATCCTTCCTGCCCTACTTAATATTTATGTGCCCTTGGGAAGTTCACTTTAGAACTTCTCTGACCTTCTGTTTCCTCATCTATAAAATGCAGATAATACCTTCTACCCTCTTGGGGTTCTTGAAATGAATTTGTATAGTAGGCACTGATTAAATTGTTGCTGTTGCTGCTTTTTTTTTTTTTTTTGAGATGGGGTTTCGCTCTTGTTACCCAGGCTGGAGTGCAATGGCGCGATCTCGGCTCACCGCAACCTCCGCCTCCTGGGTTCAAGCAATTCTCCTGCCTCAGCCTCCCTAGTAGCTGGGACTACAGGCATGCGCCACCATGCCCAGCTAATTTTTGTATTTTTAGTAGAGACGGGGTTTCACCATATTGACCAGGATGGTCTCGATCTCTTGACCTCGTGATCCACCCACCTCGGCCTCCCAAAGTGCTGGGATTACAGGCATGAGCCACCGCGCCCGGCCTTGTTGCTGCTTTTTTAAAATATATTCTACTGGTATGTATGAGCCATGTTTAATATCAAATAAGGTTTCTAAGAGGCCTAAAATTTGTGGGCTAAGACGTTGTGTGGTAGCCTATGGGACACATGCAGACATGTCATATGTGTCTGCTTTCATCAGAATGCAGGCTGGTGACCACTACCCTGCTCCCCTCCCTGCCACTCAACAGTCCTTAGTTTAGGAGAGTAATTTGTTGCCAGATACAACCTTTAAAAAATGCCACTTTAAAAAAGTCTCTAGCTCCTCTCTGGTAAAAAGAGAGAATGATGAAATTATCCAGCACCAAAAACACTACAGAATAGTGGGCTAATATAGGACAGTCACGAAAAGATATTATTTTAACATAATCTTATGGCATTTTATGAACTTAAAATTTGGTGGAAAATCAATTCTAGAAATATGACCTGTTTCTGAGCACATAACCTTGGGCAGCAGATGAAAGGAAAAGGCAGAGTCACAGAGAACTTTGGCCCTAGTTACCAATCAAAGGTAGGACTGCCTTCTCATTAGTCTGTTCAGTCACTTCAGTAACGGGAAGAGTTTCAGCATAAAAGAAGGCAATGTAGAAATTCCTATCAAGGATAAAGAAGAACTAAATAGGAATCAGTAATATGGAAAAAAGGATCAAATGATGCCTTTTTTAAAAAATCCTTGTTTCGCCGGGCGCGGTGGCTCAAGCCTGTAATCCCAGCACTTTGGGAGGCCGAGGCGGGTGGATCACGAGGTCAAGAGATCGAGACCATCCTGGTCAACATGGTGAAACCCCGTCTCTACTAAAAATACAAAAAATTAGCTGGGCATGGTGGCGCGTGCCTGTAATCCCAGCTACTCAGGAGGCTGAGGCAGGAGAATTGCCTGAACCCAGGAGGCGGAGGCTGCGGTGAGCCGAGATCGCGCCATTGCACTCCAGCCTGGGTAACAAGAGCGAAACTCCGTCTCAAAAAAAAAAATCCTTGTTTCGTAGAAAAGCATTGGAGTTTAGGATATTATTATTTATTACATAATTATTAGAAGGGAGAGTGTTTACGATGCTGCCACATAATAATTACCTCTTGAGACTCACATGCTGGTGCTAAGTACGTGCTGTCTGAGTGACAGTACATTCCCTGTTGGGACAAGAGCTGCTCTCTGTCGGACAGAGAGGTTTCCATTCTAGGCACCAGAGGCTAGACAATGTGTTTATTCTTTCTTTTCCTCTCTGTTTCTAGTGTTTTTAAATGTGGAGTCTACAACCTTTCTGCTACCTACTTAGCTCTTTAGTTCCTGGGACTCCACATGCAACCTACCCCAGTCTATCATCTTTACCACTATCAGAAGACTCATTTTCCTAAAAACATGTGTTTATCACATAGCTTCTCTACTCAGGAGTCTGCCTTGGGCTCATTTACTATCTATTCTAGAATCCCAACTCTTTTCATCTTCCAGGTTTTCCTTTATTCTCCAACATAGATCCACTATTCTAGTTATTCTGTACATTTATCATTCATTTCTCTCCAGCCCTTTACTCACATTCATTTTTCACCTAGAATCTCTGATCTCATCCTTTAAACCTTTTTTTTTTTTTTTTTTTTTTTTTGAGACAGAGTTTCGCTCTTGTTGCCCAGGCTGGAGTGCAATGGCGCCATCTCAGCTCACCGCAACCTCCGCCTCCTGGGTTCAGGCAATTCTCCTGCCTCAGCCTCCTGAGTAGCTGGGATTACAGGCATGCACCACCATGCCCAGCTAATTTTTTGTATTTTTAGTAGAGACGGGGTTTCACCATGTTGACCAGGATGGTCTCAATCTCTTGACCTCGTGATCCATCCGCCTCGGCCTCCCAAAGTGCTGGGATTACAGGCTTGAGCCACCGCGCCCGGCCCCTTTAAACCTTTTCTAATCCTGCCTCTCCTTAGATGCCTTGTCCAAGTTCCATCTTTATGTAGGGTAAACCTTCCCTTATGTGATCCTAAGTGCTATAGATACAATATGAATGAAATAATTCCTACTCGCAAGGAACCTTATATTCCTTTATTCTCCCTGTTTTTCACTCAACTACAGCCACACTGGCCTATTTTCTATCCCTCAGACGTGCCAAGCTAATTTCCATCTTAAGAACTTCATACCCGCTATTTCTTCTGCTTAAGACATTCTTCCCTCCACATTTTCACAAGGCTCAGTTTGTATCACTCAAGTTTCAGGCTTCATTGTTTAATAGAATTGAACTAGGAAGAGACCTTCCCTGACCATTCCAGTTTCACTAGCCTTCACGCACTCTGTCATAGATACCTGTTGATCTTCTTTGTTTTTCTTCTCCATATGGGAAATCATCTTATCTCCCCCACTCCTTAGGGTATGAACTCCTGAGGGCAGTCACCCTGTCTTGCTTACCACAATATTCCCAGTACTTTGAACATGCCTGGCACACAGTAGGCTCTCAGTAAATATTTGTTGACAGAAATATCCCAGACACTGTGCTTGGCCATGGGGATGATGGGCCTCTCTGGCTCTGGCATTCTAAGGCTCTGAATCACAAACCTCCAGGCGAGTGAGCTGACCAGTTCTGGAATAAGCTATTGGTGATTGCCAGAAGTTCAGTTTCCATTTGTGTGTTATCTTTTCATGAGGCTTGCTTAATTGTACCCTACCTTTTGCCTCTCCCATATGTTTAAAGTAGCCTAACAACTGCCTCAGTATTATGGTTATGCTCAGTTAATCAGGGCTGCTGGCATCGCTGCAATACTGTGCATAGAAAAGGTTGTGGAAAAGCCATGTTGCTGTGTGATTTGGCTCTGAAACAAGCTATCTTTTCTAGAGACTAAAAGCTGTACCCACTGGCACACCCTGTTAACCCAGGCCCCGCAATTTCTTTGTGCTTTTATTTTCTCCCTTTGCAGAATGGGTTTTAGGGATTGGATGTAAATACCAGGAAAGATATTCACAGAATGCGTAAAATTCCAATCTTTTCTCCTTAGATGTGAACGATTAGAAGAACAGCTAAATGACCTAACAGAGCTCCACCAGAATGAAATCTTGAACTTGAAGCAGGAATTAGCAAGCATGGAAGAAAAAATCGCATATCAGTCCTATGAACGGGCTCGGGACATCCAGGTTAGTATGAAGGAAAAGGTGTAAATGCAAAATAGAGTAGGGTTAGAAAGAAAAAAAATAGAGGAAGGAAAAAAGATGAGAAGGTAGAGTACAAAGAAAGCTTTTATACTAATCATATAAGAGTACACCTACTCTTAAAATGATTGATGTGCATTTCTCAAGTTTATACCATTTTGGGTTGATATGCCTGCTTGGCACTGGGGAAATGTTTCTTAGGATCACAGTAGTCTCAGTGTATGGTAAACCAACTGCATCCTGTTTGTCCATTACTGCTTCAAAAGCATCTCTGACAAATGTTAGGGCCATTTTGCCCTTGTCTTCTCCTTCTGTGGGAAAGGGGGCTTTTATCCCAGCTGCCAAATCCAAATCTCATATAGGCATATTACCAGACAGTTTGCAAGAATAACCCATGAGGCAGTAATGTTTAATTAAGGCTAATAGTTTGTCTGTTTTATTCTATGAGGAAGTAGATATTTAATTTTTTCTTATTTCTATAGGGAGACATTTCTAAGGAAACAGTTCTTAGTAGTTTCATATGAAGGCATTTTGGAAGATGCTATTCTCAGAGAAGGGAAGTGAGCCAGAAAACTTGTATTACAACAGCCTAAAAGAATCAAAGGAATTGTCTAGATCATTTACCCAGATGCCATCTTCTTCAGGCCCTGTTTATGTTTTAATTATTTTTTTCCCTAAGAATCTTCTGGACTAGACAGCATCCATTGTCTGTCCATTCTCTAGCTGACTTCAGTCTGAAGTTGCCCAAGCCTTACCTCAGATCCCAGGAAACCAGGACCCATTGAAACCAGGACCAGAAAAACTCAGGGCTCCAACCAACTTTGAAGGACCATAGCTAAGGAAATAGGTTCTGTCCCCTGAATACTTTGGTGGAATTAATTTAAACTCATGGGCGAAGGCCATGGCCTTGAGGAGAACAGACATTTTTAATGTTTGGTCTAGTGTGTAGGCATAATGTCCTCTTTACAGAGGATCAACCAAAAGGAGAATGTGCCGTTTTCAAGAAGGCAGGTCAGAGATTCCTTTCCACTGATGTCAGGGATTGGCTTGACTTAGAAGACACCAGGTAGTGTGTGTAAGGAAGCATGTTCAAAGGCTGTTCACTGCATTTTTGTTATAGTAGAAAAGTTGAAGACAACCTAAAGATCCTCAAGAGGGAACTAGCTGCATAAACTATGACATAACCTAGCCATACCATAAAATGCTATGCAGCAGTTAAAAAGAATAAGGTAGATTCTGCATATTGACATGGAGAGATCACCAAGACCCACTGTTGAATGAAAAAAGCAAGTTGTGAATCAGTTCCTATAGTATGATACTATTCATGTTTGGAAAAGCCAAGCCATGTAAAATATTTTAAAGAGGTTTGTTCTGAGCCAGTATAAGTAACCATGGCCTGGGGAACACAGTCTCAAGAGGTCCTGAGAAAGTACACCTGAGGCAATTGGATTACACTTTGGCTTTATACATTTCAGGGAGACAGGAATTGTAGGTAAAATCCTGAATCAACACATATGGAAAGTATACATTGGTTTGGCCCAAGATGGTGGGACATCTCTAAGTAGGGGCTATCAAGTCATGGTGGGTTTTAGGAATTTTTTAGTTGGCAGTTGGTTGAAAGAGTTAAGCTTTGTGTAAAGACTTGAAGTTAGTACAAAGAAATGCCTGAGTTAATGGGGTCTGCTCTCTTTCATATGATGCTATACCTGAGTCAGGTTGGAAAGAATGCCACATTAATACCTGGTTAATTTTTTTAAAACTAATTTAATGAGATGTTATGGTTTGTAGGGTATGACTTAACCCTTGTCTGGCATGGCCTTAGGTCTAGTTTATAATGTGGTATCTTACTGCCATAAAGAGTCCATTCTGTCAGTCTTATGATCTCTATTTTATCCTTAATGCTGGTTATTTGTGCCTAAATTCCAAAAGGGAGGGGATATGAGACGTGTCCAGCCTCTTTCCCGTCATTGCCAAGAACTCACTTTTTCAGGTTTCTTTGGGGTCCCCTTTGGCCAAGAGGGAGTCTGTTCATTCAGCTTGGGGGCTTAGGATTTTTTTTTTTAGTTTACAGATAGGAAATAAAAAAAATAATTCCATATATTTTCCTTGACACATAATATGTATACACTTAAACACAGATAAAAGGGTGAACACAAAACAAACAATATTAGCTCAGGGACTGGGATTGGAATTGAAGGAAATGTCAATAGAGACTATCCTATTTGAAATTTTTTTATGTTGAACAAATATGTTTGTCCTGTGAAACTTAGAGTAATAATTTTTCAATGAAAAAAGAGAAATCATGTATTTGTGGTCTTGTCATTAAAATGTTCTAGACTAAATAAATGTTAAGTGTGGCCACTGCTTCCTGTGACTCATCACATAGAAAAGCAATGGAAGGCAATTTGGGGGACTAATAGTCACTTGAATTGTTAATTATCCATCTAACCTTTTATCAAGGCTCCAGCATATTTATAAAATCATTGGCATTGCTCAAGATGCATCTGGCTTGCCCGGGGGCCATGTCAGCATCTCAGAGTACTTGTGAAAAGAAGGCTTAACTCTTCCCTGTTCTGGCCCGCAGGAGGCCCTGGAGGCATGCCAGACTCGCATCTCCAAGATGGAGCTGCAGCAGCAGCAGCAGCAGGTGGTGCAGCTAGAAGGGCTGGAGAATGCCACTGCCCGGAACCTTCTAGGCAAACTCATCAACATCCTCCTGGCCGTCATGGCGGTCCTTTTGGTCTTTGTCTCCACTGTAGCCAACTGTGTGGTCCCCCTCATGAAGACTCGCAACAGGACGTTCAGCACTTTATTCCTTGTGGTTTTCATTGCCTTTCTCTGGAAGCACTGGGACGCCCTCTTCAGCTATGTGGAACGGTTCTTTTCATCTCCTAGATGATGCTGGCACAGAAGGCATTATTCCCTACCCTCTGGCGAGTGCATGCAGCAGAGAGTTAGACAGCAACTTACCTACTCCGAAGTTTTCTACAACAACAAAAGAGTTGAGTGAATCTGTTTACATTTAGAATAATGTTTTTTTTCTTCAAGAGACGCAATTGCAATAGTATTTTTTAGATTTTATCCAAGAAGTTTTTTGGGCGAAAATCTTGGATCATTTTTATGTAGCATGATTTTCCTTGGGATGCAACTCTTAAACAGTCCTTTAATATGAACCAACAATCTGGAGCACACTGAAGGGCAATCTAAATTATGGCTTGAAGGACTGCACTAAAACCCACTAAAAAGATGCGAAACCTGATTAGGGCAAACCAGTTAAACCTAATGCCCTGCCTTGTCTGGGTTCTCACCTCTCCTCATCCCAGACTAACTTTACTGTGAAATCCTACCACATTCCATGTCTGAATTTTTGGATTCAGGGTGGATTTTCCTTGTCCGTGGAAGAACACATGGATCTCCCTGGCTTTCTCACCCAAGTTGGCCACTTAAGCTACCCTTGGAAGTATGATCACTTTTGAACCTGCCCCTTAACCTTTGCTAGGATACAAAAGTGAAAGCATCATCCCCCAAAGGATCACTGCACAGTCCTACTACAGTATTTTTAAGTAGCCCTCTAAATACTTAATTTTAAGCAAAATCCCTTGGCCGCACTTTTAAGGGTTTTTTTTATATGTGTATAGTTAACAACCTAAAAATAAAAAATCCAAACAGCATACTTGAAGAATGTAATACTCAAACTCTCAGTGCTTCCTTATGGTTTCTAATAGGATTTTTTATTATTGTTATTATTATTATTGGGTTTTTTTGGACAGGGTTGGGAGGGTCTTTTATTTTCCTTTGAAATAAAGAAGTGATGTTTTTAAATGAAGAAATGTGTGGATATTTAAGTGTGCTGCTCCCTTTGTCTTGAAACAGTCTGAGTAAGAAAGTCTTGCTGTAAATGCTGCCCTCTGCCGCCCTTGTTTTGAGATGCAGTTTAAACTCCTAGCTGCTGCTGCTGCTGCTGCTGCTGCTGCTGCTGCTGCTGCTGCTGCTGCTGCTGCTGCTGCTGCTGCTGCTACTTTCTGTTTTCCGGACATCCCCACATCCCGGTTTTATGGATTTGGCTTGGTTGGAGAAGAAAGGGTTGTGCAAGGAGAGGGGGAGGCTGTTTCCACAAACCAATGTACTAGGATAGGGATTTTTTTTTTTTTTTGCCCCAAGAAAATGTTCACCCAGTGATCTTGGGCTAGGGTTGTCTTTAGGAAAGGTTGAGACTATAAAAGTCATAAATAAGTCCTTGTGTTTCCTTAATTTATTTTTTTTTTAACACCCCCTAATTACTGATGAAACCAAAGTGTTGTGGAGTCTCTGTCTTCATTTTGGCCCCAGCATTCTTAATTTCAAAGCTTTATTCTGTCTGCCTAAGAGAATCAACCAAAGGTGATTCTCCTAAAGAGTAGTGAAGGAAATGTCAGATTAGAAGGACCCAAGTTTTGGGTGTAAAATGTTGCCAGCTTCCTATTAATGTAAACTGACTTGTTAACCTAACCTAATTATGCTCAGTGGACTTTTATAGGTGGTTTAGAAAAATGAAATGAGCTGCCTTCCGCCATCCTATAACCATTTCCATCACCCTGGTGGAACTTGAACATTTAGAGTTTATCTAAAGAGCTTGGTTAATCTTTCCATATTATTTGTAGTATTGGGACACAAATGCTCTTCCCTCTTGGCCTCATTCTGTGCAAAGAAGTACATATAAGATGCCCTGAAAAGAGTAGCAAAGTATGCTTTGCCTGTTTCCCCTACCAGGAAATTCCTTCAGAACTAGATTAGCATTGCCCTGCCTGTCTGAAAGGACAGTTTACGTAACGGTGACAGCCTCCTTTTGCTTTGGCAAGCTGGAATTCTCAGAGCCAGCATGTTGTTTCCATAACTACTTTGATATTTTAACTCAGGTACCCAGTCTTCACTCCAACCTCAGTTGGTTGTAATACATGTGCTAGCTCTGTTGCCCCCTTAAAACTAGGACCCAGCGTAGGGCCAAAGGGGTGATTTTTTTCTTTTAAAAAAATAATTAGAACCAATTCATGTTCACACCAAAAACAAATTATCCCCAATCCTATATATTTAAAATGTTAACTTTGCCCAAAAATATCACAGTGACTTTTTAGGCAGGGATCCCGAAGGACACTGAACTTTTGAACTAACAGTTTCCCCTTACTTTCTACTTTGGCGTAATTGCTCAGAGTAGAGAGCCCACACAAAGTTATTTAAAGGATACCCTAGCAGCAATCCACCAGTTTTTCTAAGCTAGAACCTTTAAGTCCCCAAACTGCCTGAAGACTTAAGTTTTGTGGGCACTGGAAGTCACTGTGATAGATGGATTGCAACTTTTCCCATTTGCCCTGGGACAGTTTCTATCAAAGGAAGGTTTTCACCTATAGAAAGCCCCCTGAGCTCCAGTCAAACAGTCCCAAGCTGACTTTCTCTCTTCCTTTCTCAAACTCTTAGGAAGGACCTTCGGTGCAAATCAGGTGCAGTGATGGCTTTCCAGCTCTCTTGTACCTTGATTATTCACCATACCCAGCAGTTGTGTGCATTTAATGCTGTTTGTAACCATGCATCTGTTTTCATACCTTCGTGTACCTCTTGCTGCCCATCCTGTTAGGTTTGAGTTTCTTTGCATTGTGGTTGTTCTTGGGTTCTTTTGTCTTTTCAGAGCTCTTCTATAACCTGGCTCTAATGGTTTAACAGTTGTTCTGGGTGGAAACTTCCCCTCATTTGAATGCTCCTCTCTTAAAAAAAAAAAAAAAAAAATATGTTCATTCCCTTTAAAATGAAGCATTCCTGGATTATTTGTCCATGCCCCTAACCTGGGTGAGTGAAGCTGGCTGTGTTAGCCTGGGTGACTGTTCAGGTTGTAGGATGCACATTTTACATTGTTTATGATAATTTAAGGATACTTCTGTCTGCTCCAATCATTGTTTATGATAATTGAAGGGTACTTCTGCTCCAATTTCCATTTCTTGGTATACTCAGTATGTCCTAGTAAGGAAAGCTTTCCACTCTACTGGCTCCTTAAGAAGCAAAAGTAGGTTAAATTTTATACTTCTGACTGGGGTCTTCTCTCTCCCCTGTTCTAAATGGAGTAAAAGTCTGATGCCAAGAAAAACACTGGGAGCAAGCCTTCCTCACTAGCCATATTCAGATAATGAGCGTATTTTCATGTGGTCTTCACTGCATTTGGTTTTGTTTTTGATTTCATGTTCCTTTGAGGTACAGTCAGATGAAATGCTGAGTTCTGAGAGAGTTCCAGTAAGGAGCTGTCTTTCAGCTTTGGAAAATATGCATCCAAAACAAAAACAAACATTATTGTAATCTGACACAGGCAAAATTATGGTTCCCATACACCCACCCCAAGTGAAACCTGGGATTTTGAATGTGGCTCTAAGAGTTAACATTTCTGTCTGTGTGTTGTGTATGCTAGGTGATATCCTCAGTAGGGATTGACTACTAGACTGTAAGTGTGTTTTATCAAAAATGTGTAAGAATAAAAACTCACTTGCACGAATTGAAACGTAAAGAAATGACACTTGTGAACGTGTGGAACGTTAACACTGTAGTTGATAGATCTTAAGCTGCTAATTGTTGAGAGAGATTTAAATTTATGTTCTGTCTGGTCGCTGCAGGTTCTCAGCAGCACTTTTACTGTATATACAAATTGAAATAAAGACCTCAGCTGTTAACCTGGTGGTCAGACTTGGGTTTGTTTTGCTCTTTATTTTTGAAACATTTAACGTAAAGAGTTTTACATGCATGTAATGAGTTATTATCCAGACTAATGCCACCTGTGGTTGGTTTTGTTTAGAAGTAGTAATTTCTGTTAGGACTTTTTCCTGATGATCTCTGGAAGGCCTCTTGAAATCCTGAAGTCCTAAACTTGCCTTTGACCAGATACCAAGCAGAGACATAATGACTCAGTCCTTCACAGCCCCAGTCTGAACATTGAGAGCTTTAGCCCCACTTCTGGTTTGTTAGCTCTGTGCCTCTTGTCCCATCTATAAACTAGTAATATCACACCACCCAATTTGATCCTACAGGTGGATGCTGTGAGAGCAAAGGATACATCTTGTGAAATCTTTGAAAATTTCACTTAAACTTCTTAAAATATGGGCCAGGTTGCCATGTACAGATGTGTAGGTTGTATATTGCCCAACCCCAGGGGGCTTCAGAAGTGTGATATACTGTGAACAACATCCAGGAGTTGTGCAGTGCATAAAGGACACATAGAGCTGCCACGATAATAGGCAACACATAATTTCAAAGCCTGCTTTATTTTTATCCATTAAAAACTTTGGAGACTTACTGAATGCCAGTAAAAACTGAGCATAATGGTTCCCACACCTGTAATCCCAGTACTTTGGGAGGCCAGGGTTGGAGGATTACTGGAGGTCAGGAGTTTGATACCAACCTGGGCAACATAGTGAGACCCCATCTCTACAAAAAATAAATTTAGTTGGGCGTGGTGGCACTCGCCTGTAGTCCCAGCTACATGGGAGGCTGAGGTAGTAGCATCACTTGAGCCCAGGAGTTTGAGATCACAGTGAGCTATGATTGTACCACTGCACTCTAGTCTAAGTGTCAGAGCGAGACCCTGTCTCGAAAAAAGAAAACTTCGGAGAGAAGGCAGATGACATAAATCTGAGAAGCTGTGGTGTAGAAAACAGATTGTCGGGGCAGAGAAAGGTATGGCCACCTAGAAAATGCATGCTTCACTTCAAGGGTTCAAATATATTTAAATCCTGTGGGCCACACTAAACATTTAGCCAACTTGTAACCCCAAGTCTGTAGTGAAGAATAGCTAACGTTTGAATACTTACTGAGTGCCAGGCATCGTTCTGTTTTTATCAGTCAATTCTTCCTGCAGTCTTATGCAGCAGATATCCTGATTGTCTAGGTAAGGACACTGAAGCTTGGGTTAAATGGCTTGCCCAAAATTAATGTCAGGAAATAGTAAATTAATGCAATGGAAAATAGGTCCATGTAACATATGTAACAAAAGATGAGTGTCCACAATAAGAGTACAAATCAATTATCATCTTTTCTATTGGTAACAGCCCAATAGAAAAGACAGGCATTGGGTATGAACAGAGAGCTCACAGAAATAAATGACCAACAAGCATACCAGAAAATTGTTCAGCCTCCTGTATAACCAGTGCATTAAGATTTAAGAAAACAATTGTAGAGCAATATAGTCTCCCATTTATGTTGAGAAATATGTATATTTGTATAAATATATACATGCGGATGTATAAAAACTTTGCATTAAACTGTCCCCAGTTATTCTGGAAAGGGAAAGGGAGGAACAGTGGTTAAGCAGCACTTTCATTCTTGGCTCCTATAAAGTATGAATCTCTTTGAAGAGAATGTATTTGTGTATTTTTTTAATATATCAAAAACTTTAAAAATAGGTCCAAAGAGAAGAAGCGAAAAAAGGATTGATAGTGTTCCTAGTGTCAGATCATACTAGACCATCTTTTGCCTCCAGATTGCCTTAGGGGGACTCTGGACCAAGTTTGGGCCACCCCTTGAGCTTTCTTCCAGCCCTGGATTTCAAGGCTTGGTGGTCAAATAGATGTCCCGCTGCCAGAGGCCCTGCGGGCTGAGGAGGAGGAGCATGTGCAGAGGTGACAGCAGCAGCTGGTGCCTCCCGTTTAACTAGCAGCATTCGAGAGTCACTGTATACAAGACTGGACTGTGGAGGTATGCTAAGCCAAAGAAAAAGGAACTTACTAATTTCATTAGTAGAATGAAATACGTGTGGTATTTCATTCTACTAAGAGGCAGAAGCCATGTTGTCTGTGAGTGAAGAGGAAGCAATTCTGA